GAGTTTCAAGCTGTCTAAGAGTAATTTGTTTATCGAATGATTTTAAACACGGTTACAGTCATATATCTTAAAAAAAACAAAACAATGTCAACCATTTATTTAAGTAATCGATTGTTGTGGTCTTAACAAAAAAAAAACTTTTTAAAAATGGTGGTAAATAAAATAATGGAGACAACAATTTGAAGTTTAAGAATACGTTTAGTATGTAACCCTCTATCACAAAGAAAGGGACAGTGTTATGAAACAAATGTTACGTTTTTATGTTTTCATATAAATAAAAAAGCTAAAATTTTTCAGTAATGAATGTAGAATTGCTGTCGTTTTTATTTTCATTTCTATCATTCATATATTCTATAGTCTTTAAACCAACGTCCGTGCAATTGGCACTATATTGCATATACATTATTGCAACATGTACTGACATTGTTGTTAGTCAAAACTATAGTAAATTGTATAACTCGTTACTTATTTATACAGTTTAAATTACATTCTAGTAAAATAAGATACTGCCTCATCGTTCATCTATTATTATATATGATGAACTTGGTACTGAAGGAATCTAGGCCTTATGTTGTAACTAAAATTTTTTTGCTTATTAGAAAAATGCATAATTCAGACTCATGAAAAATGAGCATTCAGTACTAGTNAACTATCTTGAATAAATAAATAATAAATACGTGTCGAAAATTTTTTTCAAATGTTTTTAAAGTTACAGCCTCTTTTATTACATATCATAAGTTTTACAGTATTTTTTGTACATTGTGTATATAAAGATGTACTTTTTAAAAATTCGTCACACATGTAACTTTTTGGTGATTGATAAAATGAGATATTTATGAAAAAGTTGGTGCTTCTAGGTTAAACTCCGTACTGCCTAGTATGATGAATGGTATGTATATACGTTGAGAAAAATTCGATAATCACGTACAGATTTATGCTTTGAAGTAAACCAAGACTATACTAGCTACATTCAAATCAAAAACCCAAGGCTCTATAATATTGAATTTCATACAGTAATGTTAATCTGTCCATAATACGTCTATGAACACGAGAAATAGTTGTTGCTGAAGGACAGAAAAGTGTTACAAAATAATTCGACCCTTTATTTTTCATGACTTTATGATACGATTTACTTTAATACATACCATGTACCATTTTACCTGTCTGTTATTATTGGTCAATTTACATGTATTTACAAATCTGAAAATGTGATTTTAATTATTGCATACGTTTTTAAAGCTACAACCTTACAACTTGAAAAAAAGTGCCATTAGAAGTCGGTTCTAAAAAGTAGTACCAAATGCAAAAATAAAGCTTTATTATACATATTAATATGCAAAACTTTCCTCCAACATATTCACCCTCTTGTCCTGTGGTTAAGGACGTATATGATTATATTCGCCTCTTCTGATGTTTTCTGGAGCTTTTTACTTCCTATATCCAAACTCTTTGATAACTCATCTCGATTTTCTGTCATACGGCAAAGTAGCTAAGCTGCTGAGCCGAGGAAAAATACTCGATCCCCTTAAATATGATATGTTAGTACTGATGCGTTTCAAGAGAATGACAATTCACTTTTACCACCTCCTGCTACGCAGCTCTGCTCATAATATATTTACAACTATCGGTACGTGTCCTGCAGGTGTTTTTGTTTCACCCTTGGGTTTTCTATAATCTGCCTTTCGAATCAGGCATTGCCCCGTTGATTAATTTATCATTTTATTGATCAAGCGCCCTTTTCAGGAGTCATATCGGAAAGTAGAAATCACAAGTGATTCGTGGGTGTATATGCATTTTAATATTTAACAGTAACGTTGCCATGTTTGAACAAACACAAGGCCTTTTCTCGGGCGACGAAAAACAACATAAATTAAAATTTTATATTTACCACAAGCTTAAAATAAGTAGTAAAACACATGTACATGATGCACGATACACACTGATTAAAGTTGAAAAAAATATTTTCCGTAACGATTACAATGATTATTATTAAACGTTTTGTGTGGTACGAATGTGATTGTGTACAGAGTTGCATGTACATAAACAACTGTATTATTCAACTATCAGAAATACTTAAAGTTTTTAAAATAATTTAATAGTTTAAAAACACTGTAACACAATTTAAATCTGCACCCGACTGATAACATAACTTTCAGATTTTTACATTATCTAACTTTGTATTGAACTGATACTTCTGATTTCTATGATAAGAATATCAGAAGCGAGTCATATCTTTTCTTTTCAGTTAACACGTATTTGTACAAAAGTTCAATAGTTTAACTAAAGCTTTACGATTATGTTTAGAGTTTTTTATTTATATTGTACAATTAAGTAATCAACGAGTTGATACACTGTCTCTCTTAATACTCCTTTCTATTGTGTAAGACTTTGTTTTAGTGAAACTTAAAAAATAATAATGAGGAAATCAAAGTATTAAAGAAAATTTTCTTTCAATTGAAAAAAATTGAAAATTAAATTTNACACTTTATTATGAGAGTCTTGACAGTTTAACATTTTTCCTACTCATGAAATATAAAAAAATCCTCAAAGACTTTTTCTATTTTATTTTAGGATAACGTATGCAAAACATAAAACGTTTGAAAAATAAATGAAGAGAAGAACAAAGAAATATGGTTCGATACTTACAATGACCTTAATTGTGTCTTTGTCAAATTCAGCGCAATCCAACTCCGTCTGGTGGACCTGCTTGTATAAAACCACAATTTTTTTTAGTTTTGAGAAAAAAATCGTAAAGAAATTTAAGTATTAAAATGCAATTGCCAAATGCCCAAACCCTTTTGCTATCAGGTAAAAGGTGATAATCTTTGCTGGGTTTTAGGTTTAATTGCCTAGTCTCTTCAGTGGCCTTGTTGAAACAGGTAGATAGATGAGTTTCACGGCCACGAAAAAAGATGACAGACTTTCTTGTTTCTTCTCGTATTTTAACTTCCATCGCCATCAGTTGTTCTTCTAGACGTTCGGACATTTTGCTTTAATTACTATTATGTTACTGCGTAGGTGCTATTCGAAAAGAGGCTAACAAGCAACTGACGAACAACAAAATGGTTTCTAGTGCTACTGTTGTACGTGTCACATTTATGACATTACTATCGTTTATGATTGATTCCTGTTATCTAGCCTTCTAAAAATTTCTGTGGCTAACTCTTTTAATGATACCTGCCACTGTACAGTTTTACAAATAGTATATACAAATCAAACATAAAATTTGCTCACCATGCAATGTATTTATTTTTATTTTGCTAAAAAGAAATTGTGTAACGAATTTCACCTATACGTTTCAGCGTTACTAACATTTACGCTTAACATGTCACTTTTCGTCGAACAGTCGCAAATAACGACAGTTCACTTTTATTTTTTAGCAAAGTAATTATATAACTGACAATAAAAATACTTTTAAACTTTAGATTATAGACAATTGAGTGACATACCCTTATGACCAAAAGATTTTTTTCAAGTACTCATGAGCTATATCCACTTACACTGCTTTATAAAAATGCTTTTACCGATGCCACTAATCCAATGTCTACACCAAAATTTCACCTGTCACAAGTAGTCAAATTTCTAAATCTATCTGATAAACCTGTTGTTAACTTAATTTTTATTCTATATTATCTATATAAAATGTATTTGTGTTAAAAACAAAAATGTATAATTTGTTGCGTATGAACCACTAAAAGATGTTTTCTGCTCCTGGTTTGCAACGAAAAAGTGGTTTTCTACACAACTGCTTTTATTAAGAAACCAATTACTTACCAATCTCCCTGTAAACTCTTAGCATTTGCACTTGGTAAATCCAGAAAAGTGGTTTTCACTTTAAAAAAAGAAAATCCGCTCCTTAAATTTTTAAACCATGAGTAAGTATCTTCAAATAAAAATTGATTAATTAGAAGTCATATAAATATATTTTTTCCAGTATTTAGAAATACAGAAAAAGCGGTTTACTATCTCGCGAAAAAAAACTACATCTTGTTAAATTAAATAGTATAATCAAATCAATTACTTCTTGGTAATATACCCGGTTGCTAGAATCATTAGTTAGTGGATTTGTCTTGAGCTTAACAATATTTGTATTCGAAAAGTATCATAAGCGCTTAATATTGTATTATGTAAGAAAACCGTGCAAGAAAATAATAAAAATTAGAAAAACTAAAAAAACCAATACTTTTTATAACAATGGAAAAAAATTTCTAGTTCACTCTCAATACAGAAATCAGCAATCATGCCACCCTCCGTGGCGTTATACCCCATAAGAACAGCATTTGCTCCAATGGTTAAAAGTACAAACTGCGTAAATAAGACATTAATCTGACACATTTATCATTTATAGCAACAAAAGGAGTGTGATAATAATTTTATAATAATTATCACATTTTATAAGGTGATTAATCTGGTAAAAACGTAGCTAAAAAAAAGACAATTTTACTTAATAAATAGAAAAACCTGAGAACCCTAAGGTTGTCTGATAGGTGTGCGATGATTTAATATATTTTGATTTTAAGTGTAAATGAAATAGTTGTGATACTTAGTGTCAATTTTAATAAAAAATACTTTGTTCTAGAAATGTGTTAGACTATGATGTCATCATAAAATAAAATTTTGAAGTATAAGTCAGACTTTTATTTATGACAATTTAGTCAGAATTTTTGTTTGTGGTAACCTTGTGTGTATCACGAAATTCCAGAACTTACATCAGCTCTTATAGCAAGAAATAGTAATAAGATCCATGTTTTCTCTATACTATTTAACAAATCTGCCATCAACTTATATAAACTTATACACAGCTTACAAAGGCTTCCAACTGTCATTTGTTTATTTTTTATTCTCATGAATAAGGTCAGCACTACAAAGGCTCTAACATATTTTTCTCATACTTGTTGATAAAATAAGATTTTTAAATAAAATGCAATCTCTTTATGCTTTTATTCTTTTTATTTTATTAAGGTGTTAAATTATTTAAAACTTTTGACATTTTTAATTGTCTATACTTTAACATCTGGCTCATTCTTTAAAGGAAAACGAATATACAAAACGTCGTCGGAGTAAAATCCTGCCTCGATTCTTGCCAAATCACACTGATCTGGAATGTCATACGTCAAGGTGGTTTCGTCTCGTTGATTTTTTTTGGTACCTTGAACTAATATCAATTCGCCTCTGACCTAAAAGATAAAAACATTGTTTTAACTGACAACTATAGATAGATAGGTGAATGAAGAATGAGATTATTAATTTTGTGTTAATGACGATAAAACTTGTTAAAATTGCTTTGTATTATACTTAGACTAGATAAAAAAAATATTTTTGGGGCATTATCATGATTATTTTTTAATTTAAATCTCAATTTTTTTTTGTAAATGTGCAACACAAACAATTGTTATAACTTTGACGCCGTGCATTTTACTGTGTGGCAACGAATTTTACTTGATTAAGTGTATTTTGAAATAATTTAAAAAAATTCTAGTGACGCGTTTCCAGTAATAGTTATGAACAAATCAATTGTTACAGTTACAGACTTAACAACTTCTACGTACATTAACAATATAGAACAAAGTATCACACTTGAATACTTTGACGTGCTCTACTGTTTTTGGAACAGAAGGTTGCATGCATTTAGTCGTTGATGCATGGGAAATAATATATATTCTCTCCGATGTAAAAACATTTGAAAATGCCTGCCAATTACTCTGTACTTCATACTTATGAAGCTTCTTAATGAAAAGTACTCTCTCTTATGATGCATTTTTCTTAACAGCTTCACTTTTTTATACCACTCTGCAGGTGCTTATTCTCTATATAGTTATGAAAATCACTTGTATACGAAAGGAAGAATGCAAAGAAAGATGAATCACCTTAGAATACATTTTGGACAGTATCTGTTAAAAGTGAAATTAACTTCGGGTGAATTTATTAGATACTGCCATGATTTTTTCATATTTTTCTAGCCCAAAAACGACTTATAAGAAAAATTTGAAGAAAAACTCCTCTTAAATTTAACTATTTGTCTCACAACAAAAAATTCTGGTATCGTTATGTCCAAAAACCATTTTTCTATCTATTCTGAACATAACGTGAAGTGCTTCCAACAACTTTTGTCGTAGTCGCATGAATTTCTTATTAAACATTTTTGAGGTTTTATTAATTTGCCGGTAGTTTTTTGATGAAATTCACTTTATACACATTAATTACACTTTATTATGAGAGTCTTGACAGTTTAACATTTTTCCTACTCATGAAATATAAAAAAATCCTCAAAGACTTTTTCTATTTTATTTTAGGATAACGTATGCAAAACATAAAACGTTTGAAAAATAAATGAACAGAAGAACAAAGAAATATGGTTCGATACTTACAATGACCTTAATTGTGTCTTTGTCAAATTCAGCGCAATCCAACTCCGTCTGGTGGACCTGCTTGTATAAAACCACAGTTTTTTTCAGTTTNTAAATTTAACTATTTGTCTCACAACAAAAAATTCTGGTATGGTAATGTCCGAAAACCATTTTTCTATCTATTCTGAACATAACGTGAAGTGCTTCCAACAACTTTTGTCGTAGTCGCATGAATTTCTTATTAAACATTTTTGAGGTTTTATTAATTTGCCGGTAGTTTTTTGATGAAATTCACTTTATACACATTAATTACACTTTATTATGAGAGTCTTGACAGTTTAACATTTTTCCTACTCATGAAATATAAAAAAATCCTCAAAGACTTTTTCTATTTTATTTTAGGATAACGTATGCAAAACATAAAACGTTTGAAAAATAAATGAAGAGAAGAACAAAGAAATATGGTTCGATACTTACAATGACCTTAATTGTGTCTTTGTCAAATTCAGCGCAATCCAACTCCGTCTGGTGGACCTGCTTGTATAAAACCACAATTTTGTTCAGTTTTGAGAAAAAAATCGTAAAGAAATTTAAGTATTAAAATGCAATTGCCAAATGCCCAAACCCTTTTGCTATCAGGTAAAAGGTGATAATCTTTGCTGGGTTTTAGGTTTAATTGCCTAGTCTCTTCAGTGGCCTTGTTGAAACAGGTAGATAGATGAGTTTCACGGCCACGAAAAAAGATGACAGACTTTCTTGTTTCTTCTCGTATTTTAACTTCCATCGCCATCAGTTGTTCTTCTAGACGTTCGGACATTTTGCTTTAATTACTATTATGTTACTGCGTAGGTGCTATTCGAAAAGAGGCTAACAAGCAACTGACGAACAACAAAATGGTTTCTAGTGCTACTGTTGTACGTGTCACATTTATGACATTACTATCGTTTATGATTGATTCCTGTTATCTAGCCTTCTAAAAATTTCTGTGGCTAACTCTTTTAATGATACCTGCCACTGTGCGCTAAGATAGGTGCTTTGTTGTAGAAAAATGGTTAATAGGCTATTTTTAAATCTGTGTAATGAAACTATTTTTTGTAAAAAAGGCTAAGATGACGTTACTTTACGTCATACCTTTAATGGTTGCTGTTGGAAGATATGTATACAAAGAGTTACCATAGGTTAACCAACGTTCTCGTGAGTATCGAATTTAAGGGAAATCTCGTTAAACTCGTCAACTTGGCCAAAAGCTACCTGAGCGTAATGGTTACGGATACTTCTTGCTATCAAATTCATTTACAATATTTCTTGAAACTGCTCCAACAATGAAAAATGTCGTCTTTTGTAAGGATACATTTTCGATGGACGTACATCATCTAAATTTTCCGAGAATAACATTGCGAAAGACAATATGAAGCTTTATCTCCTTGGTGAAAGTAATCGGTGTCAGGGTGTCTATGTTGTAAAAAAAAAGGGGGGAGAAAAAAGTATTACGCTATAATACAGTGGAGATTGGTAAGAAATCGTTTCAATTTTTGCGACTCTTCAGGTCGGCTCTTGGTGCTTCACTTATATCTGTATTCTGGATATGCTAGTCATAACAGTTAAAATTATCAATTTGCAGAAAACTTCGTGTTTTTATTTTGCGTTTAATCTTAAGACTTTTCTAGCTACTGACTTTAATTCAATGTGATACCCAACAGTGTAAGAAGAATTGAATCCGATGCCATAACGCGTAGGTATGTCTACATATTTTCACTAAATACTTATTTTCTATAAATCACCTGCAAAAATATCTTTTTCTTGAAAACGTGTTGACTCACATTACGCAAAAGAACACTAGATAGTTTCAATACTCATAGATCAAATATTTGAAGAGGCCAAAAATATCGAAAACTTGGTGGTGTAGGAAAAAAAAGCACTTGGTCAAGATACATAGGGTAGGAGAAAATAGCTCTTGATTCAAAGTGAATTGGCCATTAAGTTTTAAGAGTAGAAGGAAAAGTAGCTTATATTTGCTGTGAGTAGATGCATGGCCTCACCAAACATTGTAACTGGTAGGAGCAACGGGTTCTTCCAATGTTCGATCAATTTGGTGTGGTTGTGGGGGTGATAGTCACGATGTCAGGAATCGCTCTCTATATCATTTATTTTATGCGGTGGTACTGATATTAAAAATCTCTGACGCATGTAACGGTTCATTTTATAGAACATTTTCGTCATACAAAGAAAAATTATTAAAATTTATTCTAAGAAAGAAATAATATCATATCTTTTTTTTGTTTTAATCTAAAGCCAATGCTAAAATCGTGTTCTATGAAATTAAGAACATTATCTGGCAGCGTTATAGCTTATTTTATTTATTGGTTTTTGCATGTATTTTTTTAACTCATACCATAACTTTAATGCCTTATAACTGATATACTCAAGTCAAGCTTCAAACTATTATTGTACAGTTCTAGAATATTGAAAGTATTAACTATTCGGTAAAAGTATCTAGAGAGACAGAAAAGAGAACGCAACGATACATCGATTTTTGCATTACATTGATAATTGTATTAAAATAAAAATTATATCGCATAAACACATACGTACGTCATTGAACAAGCTCAGCTTATCTTTATACTGAGTTTACCATCTGTTTTACATTGAAAATGGACGATTTATAAGTGCTAACACAAGTAAAGATGGGGATGAGGACATAATAGGAACAACTTAGAGAAAAGAGCACTAGACAATAGAAATTGTTTACAGTGACATTTTGGAAAGTGATTTTAATTATTTCTTATATGGAGACATATATTATATTAGTGGTAGCGACAATAAATCCGTTCCGATATAAAAAAAACCGAAAAATGTAAAATGNAGCTGAAGCTACAGAGGTCTGCGTTATTACGACGGCACTTGTCAAATTGCTAATTCTATCACTTTGAAATTTTGTAACATCGCACACATGACTACTTTCAACCAACTGTTTACTTTTTTTCTAGGCTTCGGAGTTAAAACAAGTTGACTGTGTTGTATTCCTAAAGCCTGTTTTTATGATCACATTCATTAGCAGACGAATAAATACACCATATTTTTTCTAATCAATTAATTATTCCTAAGAGTGTGCATCGGTGTATGCTGTTTACGTATAATGTGGGTATGTGGGTACCCATGGTTGCACGATATTGACACCAAGGGTGGCGCTGCATGACATGCGTCTGTGCGACGCTTTCTATAGCTTGGTATGTCGTCTGTCTTTCTTACTCTCCTGTAACAACGTAACCTTTTGTCGTTTTTAATATATATATATATATACATATATATATATCTTAGTAGTACTGATCAATACATTATTAAATAACGAACGAATTATCTGTAAATACTTTTGCAATACTATGATTCACAAACAAGTTATAAGTGAAATTCAAAGAAAAATTCCGATTGACTTACATAATTTGTCTTACAAATGATCTATGATTTTGCTCCATAAGTTCAAATTCCTTCTCATTCTCATATCCAGACATTTTCTTACATACACTATTATGTAACTGCGTAGGTGCTAGATGAGTTAAGTCCCACAAGACACTGATGAACAACGTAGTGGTTTCTAGTATTACTATTGTACGTGTCGTGTGCATGACATCACTATCGTTTATAGTTGATACCTGTTATCTTGCCTACTAAAAATTTATGTCGCTAACTTTTTTAATGAAATCCGTTAGTGGTCGCTTAGCTACATTCTTTGTTGTAGAAAAATGTCTAATTAAATTGTCTCTTTGTTTATGATGTTTAATAAAACCTTATTTTTTAAACTAAAGGCTTATGTGACGTCACTTTATTTAGTACGTTTTCTAATTACTGTTTAAAGGTTTGTGTGTAAAGAGGTACTATGGGATCTTGTCACGTACGCGTAAGTATCGAAATAAAGGAAAATTTCGTTAAACTCGTCAACTTGACCAAAAGCCTCCTCAGCGTAGTGGTTATAGATATTCTATGCTACTAAATTCATTTACAAAATTCCTTAAAACAGCTTTGACAACAAAAAATGTCATCTTTTGATAAATAAACTGGTTTACTGGACGAACATGAACTCGATTCCCCAAAGATAACATTGCGAGAGACTAGAAGGAGCTTTATCTTTTTGGCGAAAGAGATCGATAACTGGGTGTTTGTATGTTACGTGTAAAAAAAGAAAGGAAAAAATGTTACACCATAGTTCAGTAGAGTTAGGTAAGAAGTTGCTTCGATTGTCTTAGCTTGCCTCTTTGTGGTGGAATCTTTAGTTTTTTATAAAAACTAGGACCAATCAAAGCAAACTTTTGCAAATAAGATGAAAAAGTAACTATATACGATTATTTAAAGATGTTACTTTGCAAGAAGAACCTTGTTTGGATAAAAAAAAAAAAAATCTACCAAAATGATCTTTAAAGTGCTAATAAAATTTTGTCTTTACGTCCCATTTTAACAATGTCAAATTCTGTTTCATACGTATATTCTAGAATACTAAAACTGTTGGTCAATACGGGTGACATCATCGAACACGAGATGACAGCGTGTATTTTTTACATTTACTTGATACAAAGACTTTTGTAGCTGCTTACTTAAAACGCAAAATTTTTAACTTTTTCACAATAACCTACGTTTTTGTAAATAAAATTTAAAAGATTTATTTTGAAAATATTTAAACTTTTGGTAACAGACCAAACTGTTACAGATAGACAACAGCTAATATATAACGTCTCAAATGGCTAAATTTTTCTCAGGTAAACAATTGCTTGTACTTACACTACTAACTGTTCGGAGAAAAATATTTTGATATCTTATGCATCGTTGCTCCTCTCGACTACGTCTTGGGAGGCAAGATCCTCGCAGAGGGTGCCAAAAAACTTTTCCTAATGAGCAGTAACTGCGATTTCTAGCCAAAAGGTTACATTGCATTTTTCTTTCCATAATTATTGAAAAACGTGGTGTGCTCGGCAAAAGAAAAGAAAGAAATTGTATTACTGACCTCGGGGAGTGAGTACGGTACCATCTTCCGGGTGTTTGCATCGCACCAATAAAAGCAACGACATTTTTCACCCTCGATGAGAAAAAACATTATATGTGACTCGGTGACCAACAACCTTTTGGTCGCTTACTTTGTACGTTTTACCCTATTCACGTAACGTACCATTTTAATTGCTTTTTTTTCTTGTATTACATTTTTGTTTTATTCCATTGCTTTGCCGTAAGGATACAAAAAATATAACTTTAGTAGCAATGCTACAATTTGTCATCTTGTTGGACACAAAGTTATAAGTTTTTTTCGATATTATATTAACAAAGAGTATTATTTACATCAATTTGCACGAATTTTTCGGAAAAAAGGACGTTAGAAAAATTTGAATTACACCATTGAAAAAAGGGGCGATCTCGGAAACGATATACGTCGATACAGTCTTATGCTATAGTCATTACTCGCACAGTATTCGTCATACGGTAATCGTCAGTTTTACATAGATAAGTGCCAGCGCTAATTGGTAATGATATTATTTCACAGAATCTAATAAACTTTAAGCGCTTTCTAAGGGAGAACAGCAAATGGATTTACGATCTCTTTCACAGAAGAAAGTAACAACGACTTGGGTATTTAAGCCCGTGTGTCCTTGCCTTAGAAGTTAGTTCAGTGTTGGCTTCCTATTCTAGCTTGTACCTTCGAAGTGTCAGTAAAAATCAACTTTCGTGATCTTACGTATAGTAGCCAATAAAGTTCATTAAATCGTCAGAGCTTTTTCTCAAGATCCGTACCTCTGTGAAATTGAATTAATATAACTACTGACTTTAAAGTATAAA